TATTGTATAACTCTTCTGCTTGAACATACAAATTTCTTAAAGCTCTCTTCAAGCAAATAAATTTGTACAAAGTATTAAACATTTTGCATGAAAAACGTATTTTTTGTAGGTTTTTTCGTAATATTTTTTTTTCTTTCTATAACTATTGCTCTTTTTTGTTTTGAAAAGAAAGTTATTAGCTGGAACATTGTCGTTACAAATAGACTTCAGTGGAGACGTTAAACGTTTGCGGAGGCCTGCAAAGAGATTCACGCAATGCGCGCTATATGTATGTATGTATGTATGTTAAATATTCGACATCAATGCGTTCCATCTTCAATGTGTATATTGCATTTTATATGTATGTACATTACTTTGTGCATTGCACTCCATCAACGAAAAAAGGAGGAATAAAGAAAAATATCACTGCAAGCAACCAATTCACAAGTACATACATACGTTTGTATGTGGTGGTAAACGCCGAAATGAAACATAGTTTTCTTTAGATCAAGTTTTCAATTGCTCAGTTTTCCCCAAAGCATGCACATGACTAAACTTTCTTAACGTTACAAAATTGTGATGTTTTCCTCTTTCCTTGTTTTTTTTTTTGTGCTGCACAAATTCGCTCGACTGTCATGTCCTTCTAGGTACATAAAATGTTTCTATGTCTAAGCACTCTTTTCAAATTTGGTAAAAAAAAAAAAGTTTACAATTTGGTATTGAGGCAAATGAAAACACGACATCAAGATTTTAAAAAGTTTCAAATTTACATGAACAAAGGATTAAATCGCTTACATCGGGCACCAAAGCTATGTACAGATATGTAAATTCCATTCTCGACCAAATTTTAAATGCATTTATGTAAGTGATGAAATGCATACTGTTGGGTCGCTATTTGACCCCGTTAAATAATTTTCAACGTAGAAAGATGATTTAAATTTGCGATTAATTGTACCATCTGGCAGTCAGTTTTACACACATCTGAGTTTTTAGTTTTCTTCTCTGACGTCAGGATTTGTTTAAAGGATATGAATATTGAAAAAATTACTTAAAAAGTTCAGTGTAATTCTACATTGCAACAATACGGGTAGTAAATTTAAGTGAGCATTTTTCATAATTGGAAAAGATAAACTTTTTGGTATAGAGGAACGAATAGGTATTGACAATGTCCTTTTAAGATATTGTCTAGAGTACCCTTGGAAATTTGCTTGCAATCTTTATCTTCCAGAAAATTTGTTCATTACTTTAAAATAAAAAAAAAAACTAAAAGGACATTTGCAATACCTATGTACTCATCCTTGTGACCACAAAACATTAACCTTTTCCAATAAAATTACCAAGAACAAAGTAAATGGATTCGCCAATGAACTGGCCAAAGAAAAATCAGAATCTTGTTTCGTGTACTCAAAACCACTTTGTGGTCTCTTTGAAACTTATATCGACTGAGTTGATACAAAATACCGCGATAGAGGAACTTAAACGGGACGGACTCTTTGATTATTATGTTACTCACGGGGTGTTTAACTAGTCATTTGTTTGCTCTTATACATACTATATCAACCGGGTTGGCAGCCGACTTTGCGTTGAGAACAACGTGACGTTGGCGCACATCCTATGTGACTGTTCGGCGTTGAGCGGACTAGGACAAATGCATTTTAATTACTTACAGTCGATCCCTTAAGTATAAAGAAATCTTTTACTAAGACACGTTTGCCATTCGTTAAGAAAGATGGCAGTATCTCATAGTCGGGATACAAAAGATCTCCTTGGCAGCAATGTTCTGCGACATACAATTTGTATAATTTGTTTACTCTAGTTTTTGATTAAAAAAAACGAATTTTTGTCATTTTTAAACAATATACAGTGGCTCATAGAAATTACCACGTGTTGATTTTTTTTTTAATATTCGTAATGTTTTTCGAGCTAAATTTTGTTTGTTATTTTTCTATCAAAATTCCGTCCAAGCTTTAACCAAACCCATATAAATCACTGTTTCAAACTTTATACAAAATTTAGGAAAACTCAACAAATTTTCATCAAAATTTCAACTTTTTACTCTGAATCTTTAGAACATTTTTGGGTATGTAGTTTTAAAGCCCATACAATTTAGTCTAATGAAATGCCAGTTTGAAACGGCTAAAAAATCGCGTTGATTGTTGAGAATTTTTTTTTTTTTTTAATAAAACGCGGGGTACCGTTGGACAACGAAATTTCAAAAAATCAACGCCAGGTTTTGTAAATTACACTTGTTATGTATATAAAAAAAAAAAAAACAAAATGTAGTCTCCAAAAAAAAAATCTCAAAAATCAACGCAATTTTTTGCCCGTTTGAAACTTGCACCTCATTAGACTAGAATTTTATATGCATACCGCATACTCAAAAATGTTCTAATGATTCAAATTAAAAAATTAAAAGTTTTATGTAAAATTTAGGGCTGATGATTTCACCCGGGTAATGAGCTACCCGGGTACCCGGGTAGCGGGTGAAGCCCTACCCGGGTATTGAATTACCCGGGTAGCCCGGGTACCCGGGTATTTTATCATATCATCATATAACGCAAACGAACGTACATAGGGAAAATCTATAAGAATCTTCCGTACCATATGGGGAAATATTATAATATACAACACATACCCGGGTACCCGGGTATCATCAGCCCTAGTAAAATTGTTGAATTTTCCTAAATTTTGTTTAAAGTTTGAAACTGTGATTGATATGTTTTTGGATAAAGCTTGGACGATATTTTTTAGAAAAATAGCAACAAATAGTTAACTCGAAAAGCATTAGCAATATTAAAAAAAATAAAAATCAACACGTGGTCATTTTTTTGAGTTACTGAATGTATATATGTATATGCAAAAGGAAAGCTTAAAAATTGGCATTTTAATTTTAGTAATTTGGCAGTTGTATTTTTGGTGCTCTTTGTATCATCTTGAAAACCTGCACCGCCGGCTTATATTTTGTTAACATGTCGGCTGGAAAGTTTTTGTTTAGTTGGTATCTAATTTCATAATCAATAGAATTCCAGTGACGGTATTTTCAAGGTAATTTATTTAGGAACGAACTTCCGTCATCCCTTGTCAAGTTTGGTTTGTCGACAAATCGGGTTTAACGTAGTGCAATCTTCAGTGTTATTTTTCGTTCGTTTGGGGCTTATGCCGAATTTCCACTAGGCATGCCATATGGAAATTAACTAAATAACACTTTTTTTAACGAAATGAAATTAATATTTTTTTAATGCCCAACTTTGTGATTTGTCATTTTTCACATTTAAATACTTAAATACTTTTCTTCGTATTTGACTTTTCGAAATTTGCTAAGAACTCTGGGATTTTTTTCTAAGCTTTTCCTTAGTTAGATCATAGGGAATTTGTCCAGGATTCTCTTGGTTTCGGCATTAGTTCGGTATTTTTGGGGTTATTTTAGGAGTTTTGGGACCTCTCGGAACGACATTGGTGTACAGTTGTGCCCATCACTGGTTCTATTCATAATTTTTAGTTCACTTTATCGAAGCTATTTGGTGCCCAATGTTGGATTTGAAACAAATCAAAGTTCGATACAAGTAAAACGTATTGTAAAAGGTACAATATGTATGTAAGTAAATACAAAATCGTAACAAACAAATTTGAATAATAAATATGTAGCTGAATTACTGAGTTTATAAGATGTAAGTATGTAATTATGTATCAATGTGAGATGTAAGATGTGTTAATTATAATACGAGTATGCTGGAGAAGTGATCATCGTATTCTAATTTTTACAGAATAAAAAAAAACGTTGAGAAAAGGATATATATAGTTATGAGAAGAGATGAAAGAATGTTGTTAACCATAATCAATGGGCCAATATTCAAATAGTAGTACAATTTTGGGCATCAACAATGATTTTTAATGTAAAATATGATTTCAGTAAATGAAATGTAAATTAATATAGAAGAAGAAATCGTCAATTTCACTGCACAAAACACGCACTCGAGCTGCATTTTTGGGTGTCTTTTGTAAAATCAAAAAAGTAAAACAAAGAAATTTACAAATCATTTGCAAAATTTTGTACACCTTGACGAATAAAATATAACTAAATAATATATTTTCCGTTATAAGCCCTTTTTGTTGTAGACACATATGCAAATAAATCTTCGTTTTCTCAACACACAAAAATGGCAAACTATGTCGTATATAAAATGGAAAATGCAATGATGCAAAAAGTGGAGAATATCTATGTTTTTACCTATTTTTAGTTTGGTGTACCATTACGTATACTTGATATTTAGGTAATTCGATTTTTGGCTATTTTTCGCATTTCATATTGGTGTAAGGTTACTGGTTTACTTGTGGTGGTGGTGATGGTGATTGGTGATTGCAAAGTAGGTACTGGCTAACATTGTCATAAACAAAAACAAAAAAAAAACAATACGAGTATTTGTACGTTTGTATAAACGAGTATTTACAGTAAAGTAAAACGACGTGATGAAGCGAGTACGTTTGGCAGAGACGAGGCTATTGCCTTGAATCACATACACACGCACACATATGAACAATTATGTATGTATGTATATACATAAAAAAAATTGCGAATACATATGTATGTACATACATATGTATTTGTGTAACTATTTGTTTGGTTGTGTATGTTGTTCTGTGTGGCCAACTAACGCACTCGACTAACAAAATACAAAATCTTTGGGTAAGTAATACAAAAATGAAAAAAAATAATAATAGTAATAATTAACAAAAAACACAAAGAAGCAACAGTAATCAAAATTAAGCAAATTCATAATTGTTGTTCTTGCAAAGGAGTTCAAATATCTGTCCCTCATTATTTATACTGCTTGTTTTGCTTACTAACTAGTTTCGAATTTTCATTTTTGATTCTTTTTTACATTTNTTGTTTTGCTTACTAACTAGTTTCGAATTTTCATTTTTGATTCTTTTTTAAATTTTTTTTTTTAGAATGAAAAAAACGACACGGCACGACACGTAGTAGGGCAAATAGAAGTGCTGGTGATACATACATAACATACCCCTGACAGGGGGAACCCCGTCAACTTGCAGCCGTAGATTGGAGGCACGTCGCGAGAACCGTATTGTGTGCCAGTTGTTGTCATTCAAAACCGACTGACCAGCAAGCAAATTCTATAGGCCACACAAATGAGAGACAATGTTATTTGATCCACTTGATGTGTTTAGCCACACTGTGCATAAAAATTGTGCNCAAAACCGACTGACCAGCAAGCAAATTCTATAGGCCACACAAATGAGAGAAAATGTTATTCGATCCACTTGATGTGTTTAGCCACACTGTGCATAAAAATTGTGCAAATTTTTTTTTTGGGTTTTATGTAATTACCTTTTCACGATCACTCAAACGCACACTGGCACGCACACGGCCGGCCACCAATGCAATCTCCAGCCGATCTGGTGAATTTGATTCGGCGCTTGTCAAAAGTATTAGACCGGTGGGGCGCGATGTCTTGAAACGTATAATAAGCTCTTCAGTTTGAGTTTTGGTGCCTTGTCCGTTACCCAGCCAAACGGTCATGTGCTGACTGCCGTTGAATGCAAGCGTAGCCAACTCGCGTCCACATGTCGGTCCCGCGTACAGTGTAGCAGTGCAGTCACAAATTGGTCTATTCCAGCCCTCTATGCAGGTGCCTCCATTGAGGCAGGGATTGCCAGTACATACGTTGGCCTGTACGTGACATGATGGCTTCACCGACGCTAAAGGTGTGTGATAAAATTTATAAAGTTAGGTTAACGTATATACATATTAACTAATATTCACATTAGGTTTATCGAATGAAGTTATTAATATTAATATTAATCTATTTTGAAACTATATATTTTTGGTTTCTTGACAACCTCTTTAATATGCTTGCAGAAGTTACTCATAGCTCTTATTTTAGATCTTTTTACACAAGATGACCGTCGTAGCCGAGTTGGTTTGAAAACTTTCATAAGTTTTCAAATGGACGTTGGCATCAAATACAACATANTTATTTTAGATCTTTTTACACAAGATGACCGTCGTAGCCGAGTTGGTTTGGAAACTTTCATAAGTTTTCAAATGGACGTTGGCATCAAATACAACATATCTGTGAAATTTCTGTGAAGGTCGTGCACCACGAAATTAAAAAAAAAAATGCCAGCATGCAGGATATCTGTCGCAGCAATTTAGTAATTTTTGAAATTTTAAAATTTTTTTTTTTTTTAATTTCAATAATTTTTCGATACTTCAAAATATTAAAATTAAACGGTCAAAATGTTCTTCTTGCCAAAACGAACGAATCTAGTGTAATAAAACTAGTGAAAATTAAAAAAAATTGCTTTGAGTAAAAGAAGACTATGACCTATGACTTGAGGGACTATAATTCCATTTTTATTGGCAAACTCGAAATTCATTCCAAAATTGTTATATAAGTATGTACAAAGATGAAGAAAGTAATATAAGTATATGTATGTGCATAAGGAATACTGTGTATAAATTTTTTTTACGCCAATATTATATTACTTTTAAATAATAAATGCATTATAAACCGTATAAACTACAATTGTGTAAACCTTATAAATTAACTGTCAGAATTTGTATAGAAACTCGTTTACACATTTCTGATAAATTTCTCTAGCGATTGCACTGAATAAACTGAAGCCAATGCAACTCTGTCGCAACTCTAGCTGTGTTTTCTTGGGCAATAATCGGGTTCCGTTTTGTTTTATTCACTGACCATTTAGCCTTACAGTTTGGTAGCAGTGACAAATGAATTCATAAACAAGCATACATTCTGCCATTGTTTCTTCTAACTTGCTTGAAATAAATCTCGTCTTAATATCATTTTTTCCAATTTAGTGAGGTCATTTCTAAAATTTATTGCTCGTCGTGCTAGTAGTATAAAATAACTGATACTGAGCTCGATAACCAAAGCAAATACGACTATTTTTGCAAGTGTAAACGAAAGGAGAGCAGAGAGAGGGACGTTCATGTAACAGAGTGCTTAAACTTATAAGAATATCCGCTTGATAAAGTTATCAGCTTAGATGAATACCGCCAATGTGACTTTTAAGTTAAGGCGTACGAATAAACGTGTTAGATGATTATGTATGGTGCTACGGGACGTATACGTTACATACGCAACTACGAGTATATCGACTGCTGAGTGGAAGATCGACCTATCTCGGCAGCCAGTTCGAAAACGCCCTATCTCAAAAAACTTTCACAACTTATTTTCCTACTGTCGAAGGCGGCTTTAAAATCGACAAACAGTTGGTGTGTGTGTCAATTATCTCCTCTCGTTCACGCTCGAGAGAATTTTATATATGACGAATAAAAATCTTTTCCCACGGTAGTTGCCGCCTAAAGCAGGGTTCCTTTTCCTGTGAATTGAGCACTTCGTTCATAAAATCCAGTCATTGTGCATGCATTATTTCTACCATAATCTGCATAAAAGTTGATGCATTCAGCTGGTCAACTGCTCCCGTCTTAATGGAATAGCTGCCATTTGGGTTCATCTTCTCCACAGGTTTCCGTGCTGAAACCATTCAACAGGTGTTTCCTTCAATATTTATGTTGGTATATTCTTGGTATCGTCACTAGATTGCTCTTTGCACTCATGTATTTCGTCCTTCTTCAGAAGTGTATTAAATCAAAATTCCATACTTTACAGACTCTCCAAATGTCCGCATAACTTTGGACCACGTTAACCGATTTCTATAATTCTAAAGGAAAGGTGGTACCTCAGAGGTGGTTTGGTTTAGATCTGATAATTGGATCATGAAGAAATTACGGTACTCTTGAGTTTCAAATGAGAATTGAAGTCGGTTTTATTTTTTGCTTAAAAATTATTTATTTTACCATAGCATCTTACATCTTTATGACATGAACTGACAAAATATTGTATTTCTGTTTGCAATAATAAATGAGCTATCGATTAAAAATCTTCATACTGTAATTCATGCATCAATTATAAAAAATCGAGAGCAATTTCGCTGCATAATAAACCCACTTTCCAAACGCAATTCCACTAGTACACTGGCATTTATATGCCTCAACACTAAAAAAAAAAACAAAAAATAATCGCAACCTTAATCTATTTGCATAAATAATTTTGTTCCATTTGCTAACAATGCCCAAAGCAATTTTTAAGTGCTCTCTCATATAAATAACGCGTTGACCACAATACACCACTTATATGGCATATGAGTACATAACACTTATTTACATATTTACANAAAATGTTCTTCTTGCCAAAACGAACGAATCTAGTGTAATAAAACTAGTGGGACTATAATTCCATTTTTACAATTTTTATTGGCAAACTCGGAATTCATTCCAAAATTGTTATATAAGTATGTACAAAGATGAAGAGAGTAATATAAGTATATGTATGTGCATAAGGAATACTGTGTATACATTTTTTTTACGCCAATATTATATTACTTTTAAATAATAAATGCATTATAAACCGTATAAACTACAATTGTGTAAACCTTATAAATTAACTGTCAGAATTTGTATAGAAACTCGTTTACACATTTCTGATAAATTTCTCTAGCGATTGCACTGAATAAACTGAAGCCAATGCAACTCTGTCGCAACTCTAGCTGTGTTTTCTTGGGCAATAATCGGGTTCCGTTTTGTTTTATTCACTGATCATTTAGACGCACAGTTTGGTAGCAGTGACAAATGAATTCATAAACAAGCATACATTCTGCCATTGTTTCTTCTAGCTTGCTTGAAATAAATCTTGTCTTAATATCATTTTTTCCAATTTAGTGAGGTCATTTCTAAAATTTATTGCTCGTCGTGCTAGTAGTATAAAATAGCTGTTACTGAGCTCGATAACCAAAGCAAATACGACTATTTTTGCAAGTGTAAACGAAAGGAGAGCAGAGAGAGGGGCGTTCATGTAACAGAGTGCTTAAACTTATAAGAATATCCGCTTGATAAAGTTATCAGCTTAGATGAATACCGCCAATGTGACTTTTAAGTTAAGGCGTACGAATAAACGTGTTAGATGATTATGTATGGTGCTACGGGACGTATACGTTACATACGCAACTACGAGTATATCGACTGCTGAGTGGAAGATCGACCTATCTCGGCAGCCAGTTCGAAAACGCCCTATCTCAAAAAACTTTCACAACTTATTTTCCTACTGTCGAAGGCGGCTTTAAAATCGACAAACAGTTGGTGTGTGTGTCAATTATCTCCTCTCGTTCACGCTCGAGAGAATTTTATATATGACGAATAAAAATCTTTTCCCACGGTAGTTGCCGCCTAAAGCAGGGTTCCTTTTCCTGTGAATTGAGCACTTCGTTCATAAAATCCAGTCATTGTGCATGCATTATTTCTACNAAAAAAAAAAACAAAAAATAATCGCAACCTTAATCTATTTGCATAAATAATTTTGTTCCATTTGCTAACAATGCCCAAAGCAATTTTTAAGTGCTCTCTCATATAAATAACGCGTTGACCACAATACACCACTTATATGGCATATGAGTACATATACTTATTTACATACATATTTATATAGTTGCAAGTGTACATACCTGAATCCTGTAATCGTGCGAATGCTGCAATATCGATCGCCTTGCCGCTTAACACCAAGTCACGCAAACAACCGACAAATCCTTGTCGCAATGTTGCCGTCCATATAGCCGGTGGCCATGCGATATTATTATACGCTGGACCCGTACCACCCACATACATATGGCCGTCTAATTCCAATATCGTACCATCGCCCGGTGTGCGGAATTCATTCCAAACTCCGTCCACGCTTACCTTTGCATCGCGTCCGTTTCGCCGCAAAATCAAGTCATGCCAATCGCCATCGTCTACGCGTCGCCGGGACGCACGCACTTTCGCCGCTCCCGAACCCAGATCTAAGTGTATGTAAATGTGTCCATTCAATAGCTCAATGGCAAATAGTACGGCCTGTAAAATTTAATTATTTATTAATTACAATAGTAAACAATGCATTAGCGAGTAAACTTTATTGTGCACGACGACAATAGTAAGTAAGTGCCAAAGGTGAATAATGAATTTAATTGTTTGAAACATGCAACCTCGATATAGTAATGTACTTAATTTGGCAAACATTCGCTACAAAGGCGGAACTCACTACTTGATGTTTTTGATTTTATGAGCAACTTTTTAAATAATTATATGTATACGTACATATATACATACATACATAAAGTATAAATATACATATGTATGTATATCCATTCATCAAAAAAAATGTTGGTACTGTTTTCCATTGGAATTATATTATACAAGGTGGCGCAAAGTTAATCATCCAATTTTGTTTTTGAAAAACTTTTCTACTATATAAAAAAAAAATGATTTTGGGTGAAGGAAATCTGTATTTGGATATTTACAATTTTTNTGTTCCATTTGCTAACAATGCCCAAAGCAATTTTTAAGTGCTCTCTCATATAAATAACGCGTTGACCACAATACACCACTTATATGGCATACGAGTACATATACTTATTTACATACATATTTATATAGTTGCAAGTGTACATACCTGAATCCTGTAATCGTGCGAATGCTGCAATATCGATCGCCTTGCCGCTTAACACCAAGTCACGCAAACAACCGACAAATCCTTGTCGCAATGTTGCCGTCCATATAGCCGGTGGCCATGCGATATTATTATACGCTGGACCCGTACCACCCACATACATATGGCCGTCTAATTCCAATATCGTACCATCGCCCGGTGTGCGGAATTCATTCCAAACTCCGTCCACGCTTACCTTTGCATCGCGTCCGTTTCGCCGCAAAATCAAGTCATGCCAATCGCCATCGTCTACGCGTCGCCGGGACGCACGCACTTTCGCCGCTCCCGAACCCAGATCTAAGTGTATGTAAATGTGTCCATTCAATAGCTCAATGGCAAATAGTACGGCCTGTAAAATTTAATTATTTATTAATTACAATAGTAAACAATGCATTAGCGAGTAAACTTTATTGTGCACGACGACAATAGTAAGTAAGTGCCAAAGGTGAATAATGAATTTAATTGTTTGAAACATGCAACCTCGATATAGTAATGTACTTAATTTGGCAAACATTCGCTACAAAGGCGGAACTCACTACTTGATGTTTTTGATTTTATGAGCAACTTTTTAAATAATTATATGTATACGTACATATATACATACATACATAAAGTATAAATATACATATGTATGTATATCCATTCATCAAAAAAAATGTTGGTACTGTTTTCCATTGGAATTATATTATACAAGGTGGCGCAAAGTTAATCATCCAATTTTGTTTTTGAAAAACTTTTCTACTATATAAAAAAAAAATGATTTTGGGTGAAGGAAATCTGTATTTGGATATTTACAATTTTTTCAGTTAAGTGGAAAAGATTATATCCGTCATCACTACTTCTAAATCATTTCTTCCACCAACAGAATTTCTGAAAAATATTAAAATTTACGTGGGCNTTCAGTTAAGTGGAAAAGATTATATCCGTCATCACTACTTCTAAATCATTACTTCCACCAACAGAATTTCTGAAAAATATTAAAATTGAACCAATTTGAAAGTACCTCCAAAAATCTCGTTTGTTAGAAATTTTAAAAAATTTATCAACAAAACCGCAAACCTACTTTTGGTGAGGCTCCCTAATAACCATACATTAAAAATCCACTCGAAAGCTTTTAAATGCTATTTGAGCTTGAGTATCGTCCAAGCATAATTTTGTGTATTTGTTAAGCAGTTCAAATCCAATAATAACTACAGAGTCTCTAACCAAATACCCATGAAAACAGCCTGAAGAACACACTCATTCCCTAACTTTAGTTAAAGGGTAACCGGGATTTACCATGCTCACAATTTCTAAGTCAATTTAGTTTTGATCTTCCATCGGTAGGCTATTGAAAAACAAAGCTTTCTGCCGGCGAATACGAAATCGTCAATTTGCCAAAACAAAGTTGAAAAGGCTTTGGGGGCTTTCTAGAGAACAATATTTGTAAAAGTTTTCGCGTGGGCGACAGGCAAGAACAAATCGATGAAATGTGTGAGCTTTGTAATTTCATAAACAGAGTCAAAGGCATACAAGTCTACAATAATTGAACTGGCCTAATCGACTCTTTCCACTGGACAGCCATGAGTGGTCAAGAAAAGCAAAGGCGTCCACGAACACAATGGAAGGAATAATTGAAGAGGGTCCTCGCAGAAGTTGGAAAATAAGACAGTCTGTTGGCTGTTGATATCAAAACAAAACCAGCGAATAAAAAGAGAAGAAGAGTTGGGTTATAAATATATAAAGACAGACAATCCCAAACTACTTAGTTATAAGCGGTTTAACATCCAGCTGACGCGGATAAAATTCCTTACCAAATTAAACCCGCGAAAGGCAGTGCTTATACATTACAAAAAAGCTGTCACCAGGTCAATGAGAACTTTTTCCATCGGGGCCCCAAATATGTGCTTTCACAAAAGTACTAGAATTCGTACAACTTGGACAGAACAGACACTTGCGTTAATGAAGCCAGCTCTAGACTTTTTAATGCAAAGGGCCGAGTCACTATTAATATCGACCAGATTAAACCATCCAAAGGGATTGAAAGGCTCGATTAGAGTTTTCCAGGCACCCAAGCGGCCATAACTTTCAGGCTCATCAAGAGGTGTTTTGACATTCTCAAACTATTGGCAGTGAGAAACAGGGGAGAACTATGTTGGATACCAGGTCACTGCAAGATCGACATCGCCTCCGAACTGGCGAGATATAACTCATTAAGTGACCGGCGAAGGGGAGCACCTGTTACGCTCAATTTATTAACCAACTAACTAACAGACTAACCAATCGGTATACATACTAAAGAAATGGAAGACAAATTCTTGGAATATAAAAAGGCGTGAGTACCAAGTACTCATGAAATTTAATGTGTATACATCTGTATAATAGTTAGGGAATATTTCGGGATCGGTGTTCGAATAACACCGAAATTATTCCAAACTTGTCCCAAAATTTACCTAAAGTAGTCCTGCAGTGGTTCTGAAAAAGTCGCGAACTTGTGCAGAAAGGATCTCGAACAAGTCTTGAAGCGGTCCCTAAATAATCCCAAACTAGTCCAGAAATGTTTTTGAAATAGTCCCGAAATGGTCTTGAAGTAGTTTTGAATAAGTCGCTAAATGGTTCCTCATTAGTTCCCAAATAAGCCCAAACTAGTCCCAAACTGGGCCTAAACTACAAAATAGTCCTGAAATATCCCGTTGTGGCCGCTGTGGTGGTTAAAAGTTAATTTTACCATTCCGAAGGGCCTGGGATTGAGCCCGAGTCCGGCTATCATCAGAAAATAAAAGGAAAGAACTTTTTTTCTAATAAGAAGCAGTTCAGATTTCCAGCTGGGTTACACAAGAAGCAGTTTCAAATTTTCTGCTGGGTTAACGCAAATTTTACCCATACCGAGAGCTTTGATATTTAATAATAACATAATAAGATTGGCGCTTACACATATGTTAGTGTTTGGCCGAGCTTCTCCTCCGATTTGTGGTGTGCGCCTTGATGTTGTCACACAAAGGGGAGGGACCTACAGTTTAACGCCGACACCGAACGGCGATTGTATTTTTATGAGAAGCTGTTTTTCATGGCAGGAATACACTCGGAGGGTTGCCATTGCCTGCCGAGGGGCGACCGCTGTTAAGAAAAAACCTTCTTTCTACATTTCAAAAGTGCACTGAGGTAAGGCTGGTAGTTACATACATACATACCTAAGTATAAAAAATATGACTTACATTTTTTGAGCGCGGCTGTTTAGATCCCGTGGCCATTATTATCAATCCATTAGGCTCCTTTGTCCGAAATTTATATGAGATGGAGCTTTGCTTGCCAGTCTCCCATGGCGGTAAGACCTGTACATTTTCGAGCATTCAAGTGCATATTTATTAAATAATAAAAAATAAAAAAATATCATACCAAATGCGATTCGCGCGTCGTAAATGTAACTGGATCCTGCGGATCGCCAATTGGACATTGATAATCGACATTTCCAGCAACTTGGATTAATTTCGAGCCGCTCTTAGCCAAATCGATGAGATTCAATAGCAGTGTATCAGCAGAGAATTCAACCTTTCAGATAAGAGATTGCGTGTGTTATTTTGTAAATAAAAATTTAACATAATTGTGCGCACTAACTAACCTTACGCAGACAGCCGACAAAATTATTGTGCACCCGAGCACCGAGCAAGGCGCGCGGATTGACTGCGCCACCAACGTAAACGCGAGACGAGGAAAGCATAGTAAATTTGCCGGCTATGTGCGAGTGATCGGTGTAAACATCGTCGACTACGGTCACCAACTGTGTTGCAAAAAAATTAAATAAAGAAAATTTAAATAAAAATTAAAAGAATAATACATCNGGCTATGTGCGAGTGATCGGTGTAAACATCGTCGACTACGGTCACCAACTATGTTGCAAAAAAAATTAAATAAAGCAAATTAAAATAAAAATTAAAAGAATAATACATAATAATTAACTTAGTTAACATTCACTATGCAATTACACTTACTCTGCAGAAGCTTGTTATCGATGATATCTCCTGAATTCGTCGATGCACTGTCACTTTGTGCCACTGATGATCATCGAAGCGTACTTTAGATGGCTTAATATGCATTTCTTGCTTGCCGTTAGCCAAACCCATGGTTAGTGAAACGCCGCCATCACGTAGCGCCAAATTCAAGTAATCAGTACCGTGCCCTGTTAGTTAAGCAACAAATGTACATTTCAATTTAATAAAGCGCTACCCACTTTAAGCTGGCGAATCACATACCTGTGTAGAATAGTAAGCCATTGGGTTGGCGAGTACGAAAGTATAGCGTAATAGCATCCTGAGCGCTCACAATTGGCTCAGCACTAGTTTGGCCAAGATCATAAGACAGGAACTGTTGACCGCGAAATGTTGCTTCTGATGGTGCTTTCTCTGTAACGAAATGAAGAAAGGTGCATTTACAAATCACACTTTATATCGAGGGCTGAGTGGAAGATCGACCTTACTCGGTAGCCAGTTCGAAGACGCCCTGTCTCAGAAAACTTCTCAAGAACACCCTACTCCCAGAATTCGGTTCAAAAACTCCCTATCTCAAATGAAAATGTATTGAAAATGTGCTGAGATATAGCCTTTTTTAACCTTTGAATTCTGAGATAGGGTGTTCTTCAACCAAATTCTGAAANACAGGAACTGTTGACCGCGAAATGTTGCTTCTGATGGTGCTTTCTCTGTACCGAAATGAAGAAAGGTGCATTTACAAATCACACTTTATATCGAGGGCTGAGTGGAAGATCGACCTTACTCGGTAGCCAATTCGAAGACGCCCTGTCTCAGAAAACTTCTCAAGAACACCCTACTCCCAGAATTCGGTTCAAAAACTCCCTATCGCAAATGAAAATGCATTGAAAATGTGCTGAGATACAGCTTTTTTGAACCAAATTCTGCGATGTGGTGTTCTTCAACCAAATTCTGAAATATGGCGTTGTTGAAATATTTTCTGAGATAGGGCGTTTTCGAACTGGCTGCCGAAATAGGTCGATCTTCAACTNGTTTTCTGAGATATGGCGTTTTCGAACTGGCTGCCGAAATAGGTCGATCTGCAACGCAGGTGTCGATATGTAAATTAAATATTCGGCTTACCTTTTTCACAATATTGTCCATCATATTCGAGATTTCGGCACTCACATATTGGTCCTGAATCTGTTGAGATACAAATACCACCGTGTTGGCAAGGATCGCTTCGTTCGCAAGCATCTGTGGTATTGCCGCCGCGTACACCCTGAATTCGTGTGGGAAGTGTATAGCAAATAGTAGATATTAAGTATCTTGTATACAACTTTCAACAGGTATTACACTTAATTTTTTCTTATAGGCTAGTTCCACTGAAGTCTTAACTGCAGTAAAGAGATCTTTTAAATTAAAAATATATTAGGCGACAGTCCAATATTTCCTATAGCAGATTTTATTTTCACATGATGAGCATATATATATACTTCGTCCTTGATATGAAATTTAGACTTTTAATGGAGGATAAATCTCAAAATTATGTAGAATATATGGATGGTTCCTTACGCGGGATTCCACGTAACTGGAGAAAACTTTTGACTGGCCAGAAAAGATTATTTTGCGTACGGTTCAAGCAGCTCACGACCTCCGGATATCTACATATATTCACGTGTATCCTCTGGGTAGCAGCCAGACACCCGTTAGAAGCGAGCTAATGTTGAGAAGGTGAGAAACCTCGCGTGTGCCGATTTTGGGTACCGCCACGTAGAAACCTTCTCAAATAAAATTAACAACAAGCCTCGGATGGGACCCTCTTCTTTTAGTGACGACCACGGCAAACGTGTAAAGGACGAAGAGTTGAGTGCGTGCATCTGCAATGTCCGGAACATTAATGGGGCAGGTGCCACTGCCCGGCTGTTTGATGTCCTCGCGAAGAGAAAAGTTGACATCACGGCCATCCAGGCAATGCGATGGACTGGGCAAGGCAAGGAACCTGTAGGTACTTGCGATGTATACTACAGCGCAAATTCGGTACTGGATATATGGTGGGGTAGAGACTCCTACACCGAGTTGGAGGAGTGTCTAGCCACAATCCGTCTCAAGGCGAGATTTTTAAATATTTCACTCATTTTCGCCAACGTCCCGACGGAAGAGGATCCCTTCTATGAGCGCTTGGAGTGCACATACGACCGCTGTCCCCGTCACGATAACGAAATTGTGCTTGGTTATTTCAACGCCTAGGCGGGCAAAGAAAGGAAATTCGGCTTCACCGTCGCAAAATTCTGCCTTCACGGCGAAATATCCGATAACGTAATGAGGAGAATCGACTGCACTAGGTTCCAGTGAATAAAGATCCATCAATCTACATTGTTGCCTCAATCAATGCTATTAAAACTCGAAAGGACTACTGGTACGATGAGGTATTTCACGAAGCTGCAGACAAAAACGGGTCACGCTACGATCGGACGGAACGCGAACTATGTGAGACCAAAAACGTTTGTAAAAATATGTGAATGCCTGTTAAGTAACAAAAAAAAAGTTTAACCAATAAAACCGTAAACTGCAGTTAAGCCTCAGTAGAAATAGAAATGGGCTATTAGTTGCCTACCCTGATCACTTTCTCCTTTGGCATTTCACCATTGTCACACGGACCGTCACCACACTGGGAAGGAAGCAAGAAAATTTCAATTAAATGGTTCGTTTTAAATTCATACGGATCGTTCACAAATCGTACACCTAGCTAAAACCTTTTCTATAGTTTTTTGCACAATAAGGAAATACACCCATGGACAAAAGAATATTTGCAAAATTCAATATGATATTGATAGGAAATTTCGCTTATTAATAATATCTTTATTCAGAATTTTTAGAAAATTATCATGAACAAAATTTGTTTGTATATGTAAGGAAAATGAATGCTCAACATCTTCGACAAGAAAAAATCCGAATAAAGTTTCATTAATTTTTATTTTATATTAAAATTATTAAAAATTAATAAAAATTAAACATAAGCAAACAATATCATAATGATTCTGCACTTATTCTTTTGCCCATGAATGTATATCAGAATATAGTCGTAAAAATTGTTTAAGATATATTTATATTTTTAGTTTCGATGTCTCAAAGAATGTGGCAAATTCCGGTAAATAATCCAAACTCAAACCGTTTATATCTTAGAAAAAATAGGAATTTCCGATGCAATTAATGCCGTTTTCTTTTCTACCGAAAAATATTGGCTTTTCAGCGCCCTCTACGCACAAACACTAAGGAGAGGGCAATGAAAAGGCAACGTTTTTTGTAGAAAATAAAACGCTATAAATTTCCGAGAAATTTTTTGTATCTTTTAAAAAAGTGAGAAATATTCATGTTTTCTTAAATCAATTCGATTATAAAGAATGTTGTAAAGGCTTGAGGTTTTGATATACATACATACATACATAAGTACTTTTATCCACCGTATACAGTAATCCAAACAGACAAAACAAGAAATGTAAATATGCTTAATTGGCAATTTGTTGGAATGTGTTGGTTAATATTATTTTACAGCTGTCGTTTTCGTTAACCCAAATGAAATCCAATTTAAATATTTTCTTATTAGTGAAAAATATTTTCAAGTCACATAAAGTAAAATAACAAGAAAAACAAAACACCAAGCAAATCAGGCGTGAGGCGTAAGCGATTATGACCGGATGCATTTCCTACATACATAAGTCATACAGGGTTCCGAGTACCGAAACAGAGAGCTTTATGAAAAAGTTACATAATTTCTTAAATCAATCTACTCAAATCAAAAAAGTTGTAGTTTATCCAACATGCTGGCAAAAGAAGTTCAAACATTTTATAGTGGAGGAGATAGGGGTCATTAACTTCAAATGGCTTATGACTGCCTTTTGACAGTTGAGCCTAAAAGTGTTGAAGCCGAAAGATCAGCAGATTCTGTATGTAACAAGTTCAGGTCAAGACTAGAAGACTCCGCTTTAAATACTTTGCTGCTCATACGTACATATTTTTAGTGCGATAATAACAGCACCGTCACAAAAAAGGGGTGTGTGCTTGTAACCAGATCCACCTATCGACATGTATTTCGACCCGTTGAATCCGAATCTGAGGTCCGTTTGACTTGTTCACCCTCAAAACTTCAAGTTAATTGCGAAAAAGTAGTAAAAAATTCGCCATTTCTGTATGGAGTAGAATAAACAAGTTGAATTTTGAAAATCTGACATCAGATTCGTAATCAGCAACCCCAGAAACCTACTGGAAACGTATTTTAACCCTTGACAATGTTTAAAACGTTCAGTATCAACGTTTTAATTTTAGTACTTTTTTTTTAATTTGACCGCCATATTAGATCCGCCATTTTGAATTTAAAAAAATTGACTTCATATTCGTAATCGGCGACCCCAAAAACTCTCGAGTGCCGGGTTTCGAACAAATCCAATCATTAAAAAAAATTTACCGCCATTTTGAATTTCGAAAAACTGATTTCAGATTCGTAATTAGCAACCCCACAAACCTCCTGGTAACAAGTTCCAACCCATGACAATGCGTAAATCGTTCAGTATCAACGTTTTAATTTTACTAGTGTCTTTTCGAGAGCATATTTTCGGGAACTAGACCCATTCTAATTGTCCAAGACAGGTGTGTAATTAAGGGAAAGTTCCCCAATAATACCAGAGTAATTATATGTAAAAACCACATTTTTAGCCGCATGTTAACATGTCAAGAAAATAAAAAAATTGAGAACATCAGCGTTTTTATATAAAACCGTCCAGCGCGGCCTCTAAGAAAACTTTTTTTTTTTCAAAATAAAAAAACACGTTTCTCTTTTTTTATCACAAATAACAATATTCTGATGTAGCGTTTATGAATTTCCAAAAAGAGTGTTTTTATGAACCACTCTAATATGTATGTATATGTATGTTTTAAATCCCAAATAAGCATACTCAGTAGAAGAAAGAAGGAGTAAAAAAGCAATTACAGAAGACCTTCTCTGGAATGTAGAGGGCCTTACGATCTGCATGGTTTCCTTAATTATTTTTTTTTATATAAAATGTGCCCAATTGCAAAGTATTGCGTTTTCGCTTTCGGGAGCACAGCTAAAAGAAGGGCGTATTTCTTATGTGTTACTTATTTGTAACACTTCATAGATGCTTTTTCGTAATTAAGAAAAACCAATAACAAAAATTAAAAATTGTATGTTGGGTCTAACGAGATTCGAACCTGGGCCTTCCTGAAAGCTAACAAATAATATCAAACATTTCAGCGCACTCAGATACAGCCTTAAAATGTAAATGTGTGTTTCAAATTTTTATTTGAATCTACCCACCATGCAAAACATGAGAAATAGGTAACAATCGTCAATGGCAACAAATTGGCGACTCACCGCTTTATTGCTGTGGTGACAAATCGGCAACATCATTTCTTTCATGTTAACTTTGAAATAAATAAGTTATCAAAAATTCCCAAACTTATAAATTTCGCGTCAACAATATTGTCCAAAATCGTCTAATTTTTACCAAGGACAGGATTGAAAAAATTGAAAGTGCGAAAGAATGTATTAATTCCGTTTCTAAGTTCCAATTTTTTATACAAAAAATAAATGAAGTATTAAAAAGAATAAAATGATTTCAAATATTGCCTGAAGCGATAAGAAAACGACTCATTCAGGTAATAAGAAAACGACTCGCCCAGACGAGTTTCCTTCGGCGGACGGAGGAAATCGATACGATAGCAATTAATTTGTTTCCGAAGGCGGGACGTTTTCTTATTTATTTCTACCAATAAATAAGTTGTTGGGTGGGTAATTTTTAGCAATCGTTCAAACAAGCTCACTTTCATGTCGGTTTATTCGGTCCTTGGTCTCGGTGCTTGACAAAATTGCTTCCGAGTATTGTCAATGGTTGGTTTACTGTATACTGTGGCTTTAACCAATTTAACCTTGTAAGGGCCAATTTCTCAAAACCTTCATAAAAAATTATGCAGCACGTAAACTTGAAAATAACGAATAAATTAAAACACGTGAATAAAATGTCGTGTAATAATCAATTTTATGGGCACATAAATAAAGATCTGCTGGATGCGACTAGTAGTAATACTAGTAGCGTATGGCAAGGAAAATGTAGATGGCACATATTTAAATACATTATGTATGTATATCGCTAGCTTAGAGTGAAAAGTTGCTAAGTCAACTTTTTTTGAAAACTCTTATTTCGTCATGGGAGGCAAGAGAAATTAAAAATGCATCATTTCGTCAAAAGTAATTGGGAAATCCTTTATTAAAGATCGAATCCTTCGGATTGGTATAGAGTTTTACTTTATTTTAAATACGCAAAATGTGGTATTCAAAGTTTTTCGAAATACTTGAAAAAAATTACTACACATAAGAAATTTTTACCTCTTGGAAAATTTTTAAAAATGGACTTAGCCACCTTGCACTCTAAGCTAGCGATGTGTACAAGTACATTTTTTCAGTTCGATTGCAATGAGCCAATGAGCCACAATGTTATTAAGCATTGAAGGAAGTATATTCTTTAAGTAAATGTTGGGTTTTATTTTTGAATACACTTTTAAAACTCTACATATATTTGTCGCTTAAGCTAAAGTTTCATAAATGCAAAGGGCATAATTTTTCCTTGCATTATTTTGCAATTACATTTGTTTAAAATTTACCTTTATATCACGTGGTTGTTTCATTTCTTGACGGCGTGTCGCCCCACCTGGCTGGTCGGCGTATACCAAATTGCGTATGGCACCCCGGAACCTCGGCTCAAAGATGACGCTTGGCAAAGCTAATAATGCCAACTTTGTGCTGTACCTACACACCAAAAAATGTGTTGATATGCACAAATACATGCATAAACATTAGAAATTATGCGGTACAAGTGCGAAGTCCATTAATTTAAATGCTTTCACTTACATATAAATACCTACACACCGCTTCACTTGTATAGGTAAATTTTTTCATTCAAAAAACCAAGCATACATTTGGATGCACAAATATCTTCAATTGTAGGTATCGGAGGAGTTTCGGTTGTATTTAATTTTAATGAGGAGGAAGTAAATATCTTTTTATAGTTCGTTTTTGAATGTGGCCTTTTATAAAACTAAACAAAAAATCTGCTTATTTTTTTGATTTACGAAAACATATTCAAGGGCTTTAGGTAGTCGTAAATATGTATATTTTTTTTAAATTATAATTAGACTGGACCAACAAAAGTATTCTATTCACTTTAATCTATTTATCACTATTAGTATTGGGAACTCTATCCTTAGTTCAAATATAGTACGGTCAAAACCTGGTAAGAAGACTGCCATGGAGGCATTTAAAGCAATTCACAAACATCTTGTTCCGTGCCACTTTTATCGACGCTAAAAGAAATCACCGATCAGCAAAATGTGCGGATACGGATGCGTATCGCCAATGAAGATTAGGTATATCGGTATCGCGATGTTCTAAATTCGCAATATCCGATACCATTATATCTACCAAAATAATATCGATATATTGAATATCGGAAATATCGAAACCGAAATGGTTAATAAAATATATATTCATAAATATATGCATAAATTCCAATAACGAAGTTACTTTGGATAAGATGCACTTTAATCAGTTTGAAAAAATAGTAGTAGTTCAGCAACTTTGATTTACCCCTCCTATTTCTTGAGAATTGCAAACTGTTTAAAGAAATTTTGATATTTTTATGATTTTTTTGTTCTTCATGGTTACTATGCCAAAAGCTGTTCTGCGAGAACGAACACATTTTCCAACTATGTACCCAATTTTATTCTCAATTCTGAAGCCTAGATAACGTAGAGAAAAGTTGCCCATATCGTATCGCATCAGGTGTTGCGATATAAATTAACCGCTGTGATGAACAACAATATTGATATCTTGAATATCGTATCGGTATCGCGCATCCCTAGGGTGGTCACTTGCTTCGTTATCTCCTGTTTGCAGCTCCTGTGCTACAAACCGGTATGTGGAATAGTAAAATGACCCAAAAAATATGTGCCTGGTATTGAAAAGATGGCGTTGGAGGCGCAAAATGTTATACCGTTACTTAATTTCTGCAGTTTAAATTTCATCTGTTATCTAGCAAATACTTAAGTAATCGTTAACGACAATTTCATTTAATTCTCTTAACTTCAAACCTACTGTACCTATACGTATAAAAAAATGGGACTAATCCGGGATTACTGCGAAAGCAATCGCAAAGGAACGTGCGACCTTTGATGCATTTATATGGAATAACTGCCCCCCTTTAGTTGCGATTAATTAATACTCAATTGTATCCGATTGATACTAATCTCGGAATACTCGCTTTAGAGATTAGTCGCACAATTGCATGCGAATCGAAATTACAAGCAGATTTTTTATATTGCTTAACGAACAGCCGCTACCTATACGAGGTGTTTTTCTACTTCAGATTTTCAAATACTTTGATAAAAACGGAGACTCCCCAATGTCCTTCAATCCAGATATACGGGGCCTTTTTCATGAAGAAAAAGTAAACCTATTTTAATGAAGTGGGGTGTAACTTTGTACATATAAGTGTATGTACATATATGTATATGTGCGCATCATAATTTTCTCATATTCACCAAACAATCCATGAGTATATGTATGTACATATGTATGTAGAGATATTTGCTTTAGAATAACATTTGCAGTTGCAGGCTGGTCTAGAGGCAAAATCCTACAATGAACCCTGACGTTGACTGATTCTGCGTTTCAATCAAAATATATAAAGCCTCTTTTTCCACTAAAAGCTTATGTATAAATAACTTTAAATATTAAAATTTAACTGATTATTATTTTAACAATGTGAATAATTTACAATTGACATAAAGAACTTTGAGCCGCTATTATTTTATTCCCAATTTAATACCTTTATGCTGGATGTTACCGCACATTTTGTAACCGGGAAATTTAAGGGCTCGAGCCCCCCTAACTTTAAAATTTTTACTTATATATTCAAAAATAGTGCCAGGAAATGATAGCTCGATGAATTCACTAAGGTTAGGAAGAGGCGTGCGAATAACTGGCACTTCCACTCGGTTGCAAATTTACCCATTGGCAATGCCCTCTATGAGTGCCAGGCGGAGGTACATCCTTCTAAGCGAGGTTAATCCAGAATGTCAGTATAAAGTCTGTTAAACCATTTACAATCCCGGATGAAACCGTGGATGTTAGATATTTTCACCAAATGCTTGAGAGGCCTTGTCAGTAGAGCTGGGCATTGGCATAAGAAGTGGTAAATCGATTCCTCTTCATCCACATTGCGACAAATTCTGCAGAATTGTTTTGTGTCAATATTTCCTCCGTGCGACTCTTATTGAATCTCGGCCACAAGGATCTTGAGACATCACAGTCGTCCCGACGTTCCCTGTATAAGACAAGCCGCCTTATCTATGGCAAATCTCTCCGCCTAAAAGACACTGCAGTTATCAGGCAGGCGGTATGATTGCCTTATTTAAAAGTCCTTGGAGTACAAACCCGAGTCGACTCTTTTTTTCATTTTTGAGCCAATCTTCCGGTGTTGAAAAATGTAGAAAAAAATTATCCGATTAAACGTAAGTTAGCTAAAAACGTTCTCTGAATTTTTCGTGCTCTATGAATACATATTTTGGCGCACTCTACATAATTGGCTTGAGAATGGAGGGCACTCATAGCATGCATGTGCACTCGTCTTTACGAATGAATCTAAATTAACGTTAAGCAAAAATTTATGAGGAGCATTCGTATTCATTGCAAATTTCTTGTTTTTTTTTAACTAAAAAAATTCTAAAATCTTAATTCTATTTAACAACCCTCATCTACTGACCAGCCTGAATTCTATATCTTCCATATTTTCAGGGTACATTGTTATATCCTCAATGAATTGGTTTGGTGAAAAGACAAAGTATTTTCTATTTCACGGTAGATCACCAACCAATTTGGCATGCCGCCCACGTAGACATCAGAATTGGTGGCAAATTTTCCAAATTGAAACTCCTTGCCCTTGGTTGTACTGCTCTGCGACACGCCATCCACAATAAGCGATGTTTGTTCGTCATTGCGAAGAACCTATAAGCATGATGAACGAAAACTCAAAAATAGCACACTAATATTGTATATATATATATAAGTACACACACACACATATATATGTATGTGCAAACAATAGGATGCGCAACGCAAGAATCTTCCACAACAGACATATGTAGGAGCAAAAAAAAACAACAAAGTACAAAAACTCACCTGCACTTTATGCCAATGCCCATCATGCAACTCTCGTCCCACAGTTATGATATGCGCACCACCACCCAAATTATAACGCAAACGCAATGCACCTTCGACCAATTTGAGCTCAAAGAAATCATAAGTGCCACCATCATCGGTGTAAAGCACCAAACCATTGGGCTGTTCAGTCTTAAACTCCAGCTCTAATGAACCGTTGAGTCCCGTATACCATTTGCGAAATTGGGCGAACGAATTTTGTGAGCCATCCAGTTGAAAGGCGTTGCATGGCGACAAAAGCGCTGAACATAACAGCACTAATCCGGTGAAAGCATACACCGAGGCGGGTACATTTATGGTCAGGAGCTGCAGCAGCATCTGCAGCGGTGACTTTCGATGTGGTTTCAGTCGTCCACAACGGGGGGAATATAGCGGTACAGAGGCAAGGCTAGTTGTGCGACAACCTTCAAGCCGATTGCTGATACCACCATTTGTGTTGAATTTAAATTTTTTGCTGACTGGTGTATTGTTATTGTTGCTGTTGCTGTTGCTGGTGTTGTTGTTGTTGCGATCATTGCGCTGGCGAACCATTTGCCGAAGTGGCAGTTTTTGTTCGATAGTTGTTGACTGTTGGCCAATGTTGCTGCAGCAGCTATGGGCATCGTTCCGATTACTGCAGCAATTGCTGCTACTACAGCTACTGTTGCTGTTGCTGCTGCTACTGCATGTTGCAGCGCCGTTAGAGAGGTAACTAGCGGCACGCATTGCATATGCTTTGCATTTGCTCAGCAGCTCATTTTGCTCGCCGAGCGACATTCTGCCTGGTAGTGTCGTAGCTTAGCACTAGTTTTGCATATTTTTTGGCGCTAGTGTTGCTTTTGCTTTTTTCAGTTTTATATCTTTAGGTGTTTAAAGAAGTTTTCCTTTTTGATATGTTCGAAAATTTGCGCCTGCTAGTATGTGAGCACAGTGCGGAAATATATGCTTCTACGCCAAAAAGCACACAATGCGTTTTTTTTATGGGGATACACTCTATGCTCACGTTGTTGTTGTTTATGTTCTACTTATATTAAGCGCATTGTGCGCTTATGCATTATTTATGCTATGAGCTTGCATTCCTGACGTCCTTGATACGATTATAATACTTTTACGCTTCTAGATACATACATATGTATGTGTGTTTGACGTACATGCATACATACATTCGTTTTCACCAGTTATAATTTCAAGTTTGTTTTACACTTCGTTTGTGGAATCTTGCGTATCGCTGTCGTTTATCCTTGAAGTCACTTTGCATTTGATGACAATCTCTCGGAGACGTACATACATACATAACAACTTGAGTACCTACGTATGTTTGTAAAAACACATGTGATGCTGACGTTGAAGTGAAGCTGCGTGTGTGTGTAGCACTCACTATAAATGTTTCTTACGTGTATTTAAATCGCGTGTAAGTTTCATTGAATTGTATTTACGCTCTTCTATCCACTCTCTATTTGTTCACGAATTCCCCCACTTGACTCCACTTCCGCCTACGAGTGTGCTTATTTCTATGCATTTAATTTTTTTCTGTTTTTCGGAAAGCTTTTGAAAGCTTTTCTCACCGCTTTTTGTATACACAGCGCGAAAGTCGTTCTCTCGTTCTCTCTCTGCCTATATAGCGTTTGTTTTTTTAATGATATCTTTGTTTTATTAGTTGTTTATATGAACGCGATGGTGAAGTGAAGCGGACAGCGCTAATAAGTATGCTACGTTTTTTTTACACTTTTTAAGTAATTTTCGAAATAGAAGCGGACGGTTGGTCGGTGTTACGTAGTTGATTGGTTTGTTAATTTATTTTTATTTTTTAGGTTGTTTGGCTATTTGATTGTTTTGTTTTTTTCTCTGGCTTTGCATTTGATTTATGCTATTAATATGCTCGTCTCACATAGAATTTGTCCACATACATAAGTAGTTAATTTATTACACTTAGCCAAAATCATTTTACAGAATATCTGTGTTATTTTCTGTAATAACAAGTAAGAAAGTCTAAGTTCGGGCGGAGCCGAACATTAAATAC